GTATAAGATGATTTTGTATCGTATTTGAGGAAAATTTGACGAAAAAATTAGGTTTTAATGATAGATTTACAGTTGAAAGTCAATAAATTCTTTGCAGAGCGCGGATCAGCTGAGAGAAACACGTCCAAAACTCATCATACCAATACGATGTCATGATTAGGGCTAAAAAACTGTAAAACTTTATTTTTTCTCGTAGAGATTATGATCAATATTTTCGTTGTATAGCCTGAATTCTTCGCCAGAGTAATGCTCTCAAAGACAACTAAATTTCTCTCAATCCTCAGATAAAGAGGTCTTTTCATTCAATTAAAAACTAATCGCTCCATCGTATAATTTGAATATTTTCTGGCCATCTTGCATTGCAATCAATATTGCAGCTTCAAGTTGAATCATGGATAACAAATTTTGTTATTTTATAGTAACCTTACATTTCTTCTATCTACCTTACTATTGAAAAGACCAAAATGCTTTTATTTAGATTATTCTCTGTCAAAAAATTTTAATCTTGTAATATGAACGTGGCAGCAAAGTTCTTGATTTTAGTTTCTGTTGAAGCAACGTCGAGAGGTAAAATAATTATGTTACAAAGTGATATTACGTAAGAGAACATAGAACAGATCCAATGCACTCATATGCTTAATTTCTATATTTTGTTTAATCGTTATAGAAATTTATATTTAGTTTCCAAAAAAAGTTTAAAACTGTAACGGATGATGAGAACGTATTTAGCATTGGCATAGACTAACGATTAATCAAAAAATCTCATTTGCTATGTACAAAATAATCAATATCATTATTTATCATATGGTAACATGTAAGATCATCTGATCATATCTGATTTTCTCATTTACTTATTATAGAGGGAAAGAAACAGAGAGTGTTAGTTAGATAAAGAGAGAGTGCGTGTGTTGGACTCTCGGCATTTTGTGCGAAATTAAAAATGAACCATGTATATTATTAACCAATTAAGTAGCAAATTATTTACAGGTACAATTTCTTTTTAGACTCTATAGTTAATCTTTAACTATAATAAATTTCTAGAATGTCTACAAAAGTGACTTACAATCTCGTGACAATTTTAAACCGAAAATTTGTTACAGTTTCAAGTAACCATCTCTGCAGTTGGAAATGGCTGGCGCCAAAGATCAATTGTTATTCTCATTTGAATTGTTCTCACGAATAAAAGAAAGCTTTGTCTAATTCAATTACACATAACTTCATTTACGTTGCGCATTAAATGCGGAATGTGTGAAGAAAAAGCTGTACAAGATCAATTTTTCAAGTCTTTATGAAAGAAATATCAACATCATCTAATAATTCCATCACGTCCACGATATCATGCTCAAAAAGTACATTAACAACACCACCACTATCTTTATCATATTTACATCAAGATCCACAAAATATACTTGATTCAAACAATAACTATCATCCAAAAAGCACCCATTTTCCTTATCGAAATGCTTATCTAGATCACTATCACCAGCAACAACAACAGTTTCACCTTCGTCAACAAAAACGTTCAATAACAACAGCATGTCAAAATGGAGATGGATATTCGATACTCCGACGTTGGATTAGACGTCTTCTCATTCCACAGAGTAGACGAATGGCATTATCTGCTTGTCACAGACTGTCGACACCGACAACAACCACAGCATCAACCGATGAAACATTAGTATCGACGTTATCAACCAGCACTATCACAATTTCACCCACCACCACACAAAATAAGAATGCATCAGAAAAAGACCTTATTGGAACATCGACGGCGATGACCAAATTGTACAAATATGCTCATGAAACAGAAATACGATCATTTGTTGAAAATGGTGTTATACGAGCCTATACGGCATCCACAGAACGTGCGATTTTAGCCCAACGAAAAATATTTTTAAGAAAAAAATTAGGTGAAGGAAGTTTTTCTAGTGTGCGCGGTAAGTAAATGTTTATCGTGTTCATACATTTTCACTTCTTGTAAAGTCTTTCTTCCTTTAGAGGGATTTGATTTACTTCACCAACACAAAGTAGCTATTAAAGTTGTTGATACCCAACGAGCATCAAGAGATTTTCAAGAAAAATTTCTTCCCCGAGAACTTGACATTTGGCCACGCGTATCACACCAGAATATTATCAAAATGTACGATCATTTTATTGAATGTGGCAAAATATTCATGGTATTAGAATATGCTAGTGGTGGTGATCTACTCGCCTATGTCCAAAAAGTGGGTGCCGTTCCGGAAAATAAACGAACGTTATGGTCGTATCAATTGTGTAACGCTGTCAAGTATTTACATGATACCGAAATCGTACACCGAGATTTGAAATTAGAAAATTTATTATTAGATTCACAACAAAATATGAAATTATGTGATTTTGGATTTTCTAAAGATGTTCTCAAGTGTCAAGAATATTTAAGTCGTACGTATTGTGGATCACGTGCTTATGTATCACCAGAAATTCTATTGGGATTACCTTACAATCCAAAATCAGCAGATGTGTGGGCAATAGGTAACAGTGTAACGTATTTAAGAATGCTAAGAGAATTAACTGAATTATTTAATTATATATAGGTATATATTTACTATTGTTATTTCTCTTAGGTGTTATTATATACATATTTGTCACCGGAGTGATGCCATTCAAAGAAGATAAGAATAATCAGATGATATTGAAACAAGTAAGATGAATTACACTAGCGCAAAAATCCTGTTATTTGTAGAAAAATATTACCTCTGCATTTAAAACCAAGCCTTATGGATGAAGTATTGGATTCATCCGTTTCAATTATTATCTAAGCGAAATGAAGAATAACTCTGACTCTGACCAGCTGCAGTGAAAACACTTGACTTCCTAAGCCAAAAATTGATAAGAAAATTTTTGTTTATTAAACATTTATCGGTTTTAATATCATGTACAATGTTAAGTGCGTGTTTTTCTTATACCAGTACTATTTCACCTATGAGATTCTACTACAGTATCTCCAACATGATTCATCTTATTTTCAGCATCAAAAATTGGCATTACATTGGAATAATCCATTGCACGAACGTGAACAAGCAGCACGTGAATTAATTCTTGGCATATTCACATATGACTGGCAAAAACGACCTAATATTCAACAGGTAATTGCCCATACCTGGTTTGTCAACATGGACCCTGTACCCATTCAACGGACAAGTCGAACAGCCATTAAAAGAAAAAGTCGGTCGTCATAGTTTTCAACTTTTCCCCTGTTCGACTTTCTCCTCTGGGACTACATTAAAAGCTTCACCCGTCTTATAGGAAGATTAGTGAAAGGAACGGTGCCTTCTTATTTCTTTATATATGACTTTGTCTCTCTTTTTTTTAATCTTTATTCCATCCTGCATTTCGATGACTTTGTTTTAGTTTTTTGTGTATTCATTTCAAAAACTCGGTAAAAAATCTTCATATTATTTCAACAAATAATATGTGTAGTGAATTTATGCTAAGCACATATCGTCTCCATACTTTAGACGCATTAATTATTATCGATCAACAGTGCTTTTGTTTGACACATTGAAGATCTTTCTAGAAAATTTATTGCTCTCTTTAAAAATTCTTTAGTTTCTTATTTTTACTTTACTATGTCTTTCACAAAAATAGAAGATCTTAATGTCTTTTTTGACTCTAAATTTCTGAAATTTACTCGGAGACTTCCATTTTATTGATGTAGTCTTATTTATGTTCAAATTTTCTTTCTCTGTCTTACCACAAATATTGTAGGAGATCCTACGCTTTTCATCATATATATAGTCAGGGAGTAATTGAACCTATACTTATCAGATGAAAAATCCGGTTTCTCATTGTTCTTTTTAAAAAAACCACTGTAATTGTTCTCGTTGCACGTTGGTAGCTCTCTATGGGCGCTTCTTGTACGTCTGTATGTATGTTTTTTTTTGTTTGAACTTTTGATTTTCTATTTAACTTACGAAGTTTTCTTTTGTTGTTTTCAACGTTGGATTTAGAGCGCTCAGTTATATAAAAAACAAATAAAACAAGAAGATAGTTTCTCAAAAAGACATTAGACATCTCTAGGATATTTTTCAGAAAATGACTACATAAAAGTGAATGTGTATCAACTATTGGGAATATGTGATAAGAAGGTCGCTTTGCCTCTTTTCTGTGTTTTCTCTGTACACTGCGAGTATTGTTTTCAACATTACGAATATAAAAACCAGCACTTTTTCAAAAATGCAAAGGAAAAGTTGACAAACGTAATTTATCTATGATGTTTTTGTTTCAGATCTTTTGAGTTTTGATGAAAAGAGTGTGCTGCTAAAATAAAGTATGAATTTTGCTCTGATACAATGGCATCAAAATATTTTTTTCATACAGTCGTCATTTCCTAGAGAACGTACTTGATGCAAGTACTTGATTACTTCCTAAGTACTTGGAAAAATTGGCAAGTGTTTCCAAAAAATTTCTCACTTGCTATGTGCTTTCAGCAGTACTTCTTAATGATAAAAATACTTGTGAAAATACTTGGCAAGTAAGGGCTTTTTTATCACCCTAACCCGAAAAGTGTATTTAAAAACCAAAAGGGTTTTTCTGTTTGACCAGAAAACTAAAGAAGGTTTTTTAGAAAGAGTCACAGAGTTTTGGTAAGAACCAGAAGGGTTTCTTGTAAACGCATATGGTTTAGGGAAACATCGTTTTTGATTTTTCAAGTAGCGATTTTCTAGTTTGAGCAAAAAACCAAAAAGGGTTTTTTAAAAAGAGTTAATCGAACACTTTATATTTCGAAATCCAACAAACAATTTATCTTAATGTCGGTGAACTCTTATGTAGCGATTTCTATATAAAGAAAGAGTGAAAAATAAAAAATTTTCATACCAGATCTCTCAAAATAAAGTGTTTCTTAAGGTGATGACATACTTATTTCACCATGTTTTACCCGGTTTTTTCTCATCGGGAGCATAATGCTTTAATTTTGCTTTAGAAAAGTTAAAAAGCAGATATAAACTAAAAATAGGGTTAAAATCAGCGGTTGCTTGGATACGACAGGTTAGGACCGCTCGCCACTATCTATTTACATGAGTACTATACCTATGCTTAGGAAAACGGTTTTTCTTTGTGGACTTCAGACCTAGAATAAAATAAGTTCACAAAGGGAATATTAAGGGACAATAGAGAAAAACTCGATAATATTACCCTGAAAACAATTCAAGTACTTGCAATTTTACTTGACAAGCGCTTGAACAAGTGCTTGTCAAGTGAAAACTCAAGTATTTGCATGTTGGACAACTACTTACAAGTAACTTTACTTCTGGAAAAAAGACAAGTACCGGCTTCTTTACGCAAGCGAAGTACTTGGGCATAAGTACGTTCTCTAGGATTATAAACACATACCTTATTTATTCCATAAACTATTGAATCGGTAGTTGTACTTTACTTATCTATTATTACGCCCTGATGGAAATTCAAATTCAGTAAAATTTTAGTTTGTCTCTTACTCGATAAACAATTTTTGAAAACTGACTCTTTTCTTGCATTGTTCTTTTTTTTATGATCAGGACGTTGCCTTGGATCAAGGTAACCTAACGCAAGTAGAAGGCACTTTCTCTTTTCTGTAGAGTCATTCGTCCTAATGCAATCACATTTTTTCTATTTGTAGTATTTTGCAAATCGAAAAGTCATTTGTCAACATTATGGAAAAATGTTTAGTTTTAAGAGTAGAGCTGACTCTTCTTCGTCGATC